CGGTCCGGATACTTCAATTGGTTCAGAATAGAGCTGCCAGGCTGCTGACGGGGACTGGACGTTATGTTCACATGACACCAGTTCTCCGTCAGCTTCACTGGCTCCCCATTGAAGTCCGGGCCCAATTCAAGGTGTTGGTAATGACCTATAAAGCCCTAAACGGCTTGGGTCCTGGTTACCTGAAGGAGCGCTTACATCCATATTTGCCCAGTCGCCCCCTGAGATCGGCGGGAGAGGCCCTTCTCCGGGAGCCCTCCGTGAGAGAAATTAGGAGGGTGGCTACTCGGAGAAGGGCTTTCTCAGCGGTGGCGCCTAAGTTATGGAATGCGCTCCCCAGAGAGGTCCGCCTGGCGCCGTCGTTATTTGTTTTTCGGCGCCAGGCTAAGACCTTTTTATTTAAGCAACATTTTAAATGCTAAATACAATTGAATTTTATCTGGCCAGGGCGGCTTATTTTATAATGTGAGTTTTAATTAAGATTATTTTATATGGATTTTAACTTGTTTTATCTATGTTGTAAGCCGCCCCGAGGCTTCGGCGAATGGGGCGGCATAAAAATGTTTTAATAAATAAATAAATAAATAAATAAATTAACACAGAGATTCCTCCTCAAATAGGGTGGCAATATGAAACTTCAAAGGTGAATTAGTGTTGGGAACATGCTATTGTCCCTTTGACATGGTATTCCTCTGACCTGATCTTCAGAGGAAGAATAGAATCAGGGATGAATCAAAATAAGGTAATGATATGAGCTTCCCTCACATAGAAACATAGAAACAGAGCGAGTCAGAAGGGGTCTCCCAGGCCATGTAGTCTGACCCCCGGCTCCAGCCTTACCTACACATGGACTGTATAAAAGAATATTCTAGTCATGATGAAGAGATTAAATGTACTGAAACTTGGGCAGAGCAATCCTCTGAGTCCTAGGATTCTTCAGATTCCCTGTTCTTAGGTTGGAAAAGAGTTCTGACCATGGAGCTGAGGATCTGTGCTTGGATCCCCCTTGCTCTGTGCAGCAGTGTGGGAAGAACCATGCCAGCCACCTCTTCAAGGTCATAGGAGCAGCTTACTCATGGGTCAGGATGGGGTGTCCTCTGGCAGTGCTCCTTCCCCCTGCCTGTCTGAAGCACCTCAGCTAGGTGGCTACCTAGGTGGCTTGTAGGGGTGGGAAAACGAAGAGGTGAAGAACACCTCTGGACTGTTCCTACCTTGTATAGGATTCTTGTAAAACAGTTTCAGGGCTCCTGGACATCCCCATTGAGTTGAACCCTAAATCCTGGTGCACTAGAACTGTTGATCATGAAAATGACCCCAGGTAAAGCAACTCTGGACTGAACAGATGGCAATGCTGCCCAACACCTCGAGTCAAATGTGAGTGTTGTTGAACCAATGGAAAATAACAACCACATTTCTATCAAATTAAGTTTATATCTAAGTGCAAAATTTGGAGAACACAGAAGTCATGTTCTAGTGGTGGCATTCTTCCACTGGCAGAACAATGGGTTCAACACCTTTTAGAGAAGACTATTAGACCCTCTTGACAAAATATGGATTTACATTGTTGTCTACATGTCAACCGTTGAGAACTTAAGCAGTAGAAGAATGGCCAGTGTTTGTCCCTTAGCAGACTATTCTCTATGCATGTACTTATCCATATTCATGTATTTTAAATGATTCACATGTCTTTAATGATTCACATTACTTGCTGGCACAAAAATCACTTAAGATTTGCATAATGCTTGGGACTGAAGTTTTTAAACACTTAAGTCTATGAGGTAATGGCAGGGATACTTAACCAGGCTAATTGATGGAGAAGCAAGCAGAATTCCTAAAGACAAAGCCATCTCTGATACATGCTCACGTTGCCATGTACAGAGCCTGCTACGTGTTAAATTGGCAAGATCTCATCTTTGTAATGCCCCGTATCTGTATCTGCAAGATGCTTCCATTGCGGGCCAAATTAGAGGTGATCTTGTGAACGGTACCCAAAATGGGAGTAGTTAATTCTCCCTTCCCCTGGTGAATAATGGGGTGGTAACTATTTATCAGCAGTGTCCCTGGAGAATTGCTCTAGTATAATTCCCACTGGAGCATTTCAGAGGTCATTACAGCTCCACCAGAAGTTGCAGAGGTGGCCAACCTTCTCTTTGGACTGAATGCAATAAACGCCAAAAAGACCTTTTTGAGACTTTATGTGATCATGGCTAACCACCCATTCTCGAAATATTACAGGATTCTTTCCCGAAAGTGGCTGAAAATGCTTTCTCTTTGCAAGTCACAAATAGACCCATGAGAGTTCAGAGAGACATGCTTAGTTCAGTGCTACTGAACATTCAATAGGATTATGAAGAGTTCCAAAATGCTATCTCTGAATTTGGAAAATGGACATAACAATGGCAAATAAGATTCAGCAAAAAGCAATATGCACTGGAAGAAAAGAATCCAAACTTCGCATATAAATGGGATAGAAACAAGTTTTGACTATGCAGTCTTTGAGCTGTGCGGAATATCTTGCCAATGGTGTTGATCTAATTAGCTGCAGCAGTGCAAAATAGATAGATAGATAGATAGATAGATAGATAGATAGATAGATAGATATTTTCTTGGAAATTGTTTGAAAGCAATTGCAATGAAAAGGGACATCTTGTATGAAATTACTGTCTCTGGTCATATTGGAAAACTGTGTACTATTCTGGTCATACCATGTCAGAAAGGCTATGCAGAGCTAGAAAAAAATCAGAAAAGTACAACTAAAATAATTTGAGGTTTGTAGGCCCTTCCATATGAGGCGGAATATACAGCGGTACCTTGACTCACAAACTTAATCCGTTTCAGGACTCTGGTCGGGACCCAAATTGGTCGTGTGCCAAGTCAAATTTCCCCATAAGGTTTAATGTAAATAAGGTTAATCCATTATGTAACCATTTTTTTAAATCAGAAGAATGTGAAGCAAAGTGACAAAGAACCGCAAAGATTGTGGCCATCTCCCCCCCCACCCCCAAGCACAAGCGTGGCCACCCTCCCACCCCCCCAGCATGACCACGATTGCCATCCCTGCACATGTCCATCATCCCGACATACTGGGGGGAGGGGGGGAGAGATGGGCGCAAACGGGGCGCACTGGGGGAGGGAGGGACGGGCGAGATCTCGGCCATCTCCCCTCCCCCCCAGTATGATCATGGCCATCTCTCCATCCCCCGAGTGGGGAGATGGCTGCGATAGTGCTGGCTGGGGGCGGGGAAGATGGCCGAGATCATGCCCGTTTTTCCTGTAGGAGCGAGCCCATGATCACACACATTTTCCCTGCACAAGCACAACTGCAGTCGTGGCCATCTCCCCACTCAGGAGCGGAGGATGGCTGCGATTTTGGTCGCCACCCAATGTGGAGTTTGTGACCCACGTCAGAATTTTCATGAAATTTTTGTCCGTGACCCAATTTGGTCATGAACCAAGGCGTTCATGAGCCGAGGTACCACGGTATAGATTTAGTTAAATTCATTTCATCTGTGTTTTGCTGTTGTTGGGTGTCTTTTGTTCCAGCATCCACTGATGGACAGAACTAGATATTTGTCTGGGAAAATCTTGATCCACTTATGCAAGTTTGAACTTTCCTACTGTGCATAAACACAGAAATATACACCAGCAATCCATAAGCCTACAGAATTTGCATGACTCAGAAGAAGTTGATCTGCTGTGGAATCATATCAGAAAGTATTGGAGACTCTTTAGCGTATGCTGTTTTTGGTTCTTTAATGAACAGGTGAGGAAATGGTATGGATTTTTAAAATTATGGATTGGATGGAGAAAGTGGGTTCCTCATAATAGTGCAACTCAGGACCACTCAGTGAACTAAATATAGGATTAGAAAAACAAGAAACTGGAGTTAGAAGATTGGTGCATCCCCATCAGTGGCAGAAGCAACTCTTTGACCTGGAAGAAAGAGGCAAGTCACATCAGCTGGGAAAACTAGGATGACGACCATTGTATGAATTCACTCCGAGGCTCTGCAGAAGAGCCAAATTGCCATGCAGATGAGGCAAGGTGATGTTCTCTTCAATGCAGATTTAAAGGGAACCCCACCTTGCCTCAGGTACAAGCAAAATCATATATGTCTTACCCACCAGGACATGCTTTGGGTAATGGAGACCCTCCAGACTCACTCACTCTGAACTAAACCTCAAGATCTTAGGTGTGCTACCTGAGAAAGTCTCAGAGGAGAGCCTTTCTCTTCCCCACAAGTCCTACAATGCTAAAGAACCAGTCTGTGGGAACCCCGTGCACAATCACGATGGTGGTTGGGGTTGCCCACCAATGAGGCTGTTCTGAACTGATTTCTCACTGTGCCCTTCAGGTCCCAGAAATTTGCCTACGACTGGCAGCGGTGTGCTCAATTCCATGCTCACCCACATTGAGAGTACATTGGGTGAATCAGCTGATACAAGCATTTGTTGTAAATTCTGATTACTACATTCTCTTGCACCCCTGAATAAATAACCAACCCTAATATTCCTAGAACTCTTTGTGTGGAAGAGGGTTAAATCAAGGGGCCCTAATTATTCAGCAGCTCTTTTCCTGGCTGTAACCTCACTTTCAGACTTGAATTAATCTGTCGGTTTTGAAAATAGATCAGAGATTCAGTGTCTGGAAGAAGCTGATTCTTCTTCCAGAAGCTGATTGCCGAGACAAGCCCCAAGAGCACCAAAGGTGCTTGGTTTCTGAGTGATGCACATCTTCGTGTGTCCAACAAGAGACAGTGAAAGAGAAAGAGCTACAGAGACGGGAGGAAGGGGTGGAGGGTGATGAGCTGGATTTTTATTGGAAGCTCTTAAACTGGTTGCTATGAGACCTTCAGCAGCTAACACAGACACAGCAGCAAGTGAGTGAAGCTGCTAGATCATACCTCTCCTATACAACTTGCTTTCGCTTCCCCTCCCCAATCGCTTTCAGAGTTGAACGAAAGCAAGCACCAGCAGGTCTGTCCCCCCCCTTGAGCAAAGAAGATGGAGCTTGAATGCGAAATTGCAAACTCCCCGAGCACTTCAGGAACCCCCAGGGAGTACAAGGTGGTGATGCTGGGATCAGGCGGAGTGGGCAAAAGTGGTAAGTTTGTTGTTGTTGTTGTTGTTCATGCTTTGGGATGGGGGTGTTGGAGGGATGCATTTTACAGGTAGGAGGTGAAGGAAGGGGATCTGTATTTGAGAAGAGAATAGAAGCCTGGAAGGGAACATCTGCTTAAAAGCACTATGAAAAAGCGTCATTTGCATAAGAGTATCAGCTTCTGCTTGGCATTAAAAACAATAAGGGAGGTTGTATGTCGTTATTCGTCAGGCTGATGGCCCAATACACTGGGGCTTGCAGAAGCTTTCAGGTGGATGGGAGTTGAACCCAAGTACATCTGTGGACTTCTGGTCACTTCAATGAGCTTGTTCGAGAGAAATCCCCTTTGAGTATCACCTGGAATGATGGAGTGGCATGGGATGGACCCCAGACCTTCCTGTTGATAAGCCCTTTCAAGTCATATTTGCAATAACAGGAATAATTGTTGATGCCCGCCAGTTGCAGAAGTGTGTGTGGGGGGGGGGGTAAAAGGGGACCCCTACCAGACTGATTAAGAAGTCAGCTTGGCAGTGAGAAAGGAAGCAGGATGCCCCCAGCTAAGTTGCGCAACTTTTCATGTTGACTTGTTTACTGCATGCCATCAGACCTTGGATCGTGATGTACTCACCTTTCACCTGCCAAGTCATAGGATGTATGTTGAATATTCTCATCCCTCTAGACGAGAAGTTTGATGTCATCAGAGACTCATTAGAATGACCTAGAGGGAGGGAAAGATAAAGATGCTCTTGTCCCGGGGTTACAGAATGCTCCAGATGAGCTCTTACTTCTGTCCAGCGTTTTGCCTCCTGCCAGAGATTATAACCTTTTGATTTATCTTTGCCAGCACTTAACATCCTCTAATCTTAAAGCCACTTTGCTGAGCACGCAGCGTCTGTCTCAGTACTTGCTTCCCGGGATGATGTACCTGTCTGTACAACATGCCTGTAATTACATCTGCTAAGCCTGGTGCACTCTATTAAATCTCAGGACTATTAGAATGAACAAACAGCGGAATCAAAGCATACATACTTTGTATATGAGCCGTAGTTTCTCTTTAACTACCTTGGCAATGCCAAGCACAAGACGTTATATTTGATTGACCTGGCAAATGTGTCTGAGGGCAGGGGCACTTGGTAAAGGAAAGCCATCTCAACGAATGGAAGTGGGCACATCTGGATGCCCTGAAGCAGCACCAGGGAACATCTGGAATCAGAGATCTCCAATGTTATACATAAAGTGAGTGTGGATAGTATACACAGCAAAGGCACTAGTCCAAAATTCAAAGGAAAGTTACAACCATTAGGATACTACTGGGGGCATTTTTCACAAGGTCAGAACACATCTTTAAGTTCCTAGAAAATGTAGCCAAAACACCCCCAGCAACCGTGAAAACGGATATGGTGGACATGGGTCAGGTGAAATGTGAGGAAAGGTTAAAAATATTTGGAGTCCTTTCATTTTGGAAAAAAAAGGACAAAGATATTGGAGATCTATAAAATAATACGACACGTGCAGAAAATGGAAGAAAGCAGATTTGTTTCTCTTGCTTTTGATGTTAAGAGTCCAGTCACATAATATACCCTTACGGTAAGGATCCCACTGAATGTAGTAGGACTTATACCTGAGTAAACACATGTAGGATTGCTCAGCATGATTTTGTGTCATTGAAAGAAATGGATCCACAGCAGGTTCTGAACTGATTTGCTCCAAGAACACCCAACAAACTTTTTGTACAAGTTACCAAATACATAAAATCTGCTGTCACAAGATGCAGTGAGATAGTTGTTCGGCTGGCCTTAGAGCAGCAAAATGTATCCATGGGGGACGGGGAGCAAGACTGGAAGGAGGCATAGCTCATAAGGCACATGCTTTACATGCAAAAACCTGGTAATCCCAAAGCTGCTGAACTTCACAGCCTCCTGACAGGCTTTCCAGAAGCATCTGCTGGGCTGTATTGGCCGGGAACAGGATGCTGAGCTCGCTCTTTGGGATGGGATTTAGAAGGAAAGTAGGACTGAGGGAGGCCATGGGCTGGGCTGGCTTCTCTGGGCAGCTGCTTGCCATTTGGCTTCCGGCCAATTCTCATGCACACGTGCAACTTCTGCTTCTTTATGTGAATGGGGAGATGCTACACACTGAGCAATGATCAAGCAGGGAGCTGCACGAATTTCCTATTGATTTCCTCTATGGGCTAAAGCAAGGATGATTGAGCCGATAGAGGATATTTGTGCAAAAGCACGGGGAAGCAGAAACAAGATGAATGCAAGTGCTGGGCTGGGAATTTACCAGCATTTTCAGTGGTCACCGCCACGTTTGGAATATTCAGTGGACATGCTTGGATGTTTTGCATGGAAAAGCAAAATGTTCAACATTCCTGAAGTTGTGTGTGTGAAGGTCTAGGGCATGTCTAGGTCTGAACCTGGAGGTGATGTGTTAAGCACAAGGAAAGGTGGGTAAGAATAAGTGGCAAGATGAGCTGCCACGGACTCACATGCTCTGCTCATGGGTGGAAAAACGGCCTGCTTGAAATCATGGGACAGAGTAAGATTCTTGGCACCTGGTGTCCCTAAGAGCAGGTGGGAATGCAGTCTGGCTCACACTTCAGTGCAAACATAACTAAATTCACACTGGCTGAGCCAAGGTCCAAACCTGAATGCAGTTGCACTGCAAAATTTGCACGTTCCTGATTCTTGAGCTTGAGCTCACATTAGAAAATACACACAAGAATACTGTGTATTTGAAAAAATGTACTTAGCAAGAAATGTGTACACAAAATCTCACAGGTGAATTGCAGTCAGAGAAGTGCATGCATGTTTTCCAAGTGCTTTAGAAAATGCATTATTTTCTAAGAAAACAGATGTCAGAAATGGATGCCAAAACAGGACAGAATTGATGTAATATAAGAGTGATGGGAAACCTCACAGCCCTATGCTCTCCTGGTGTTGTCTGGGAGAGGCATAGATGCTTTTGGGGGGTTCCCAGCTCTGAGGCCCTGAGACCTTGGAGCTGAGAGTCCAAATACCATACTGCCCCTGTCCCCAAATACAGAGAACCATGGTGGCTGCCATCCTCAGAGAGGACAAAAGAGTTGTGGTTTGGATGCACAGCACGTGTATTTCCAATTGGTGCACTAGCCTCCTTCCTTCTCCCTCCCCATCATGTCAACCAGATCACCAAAAACAGCACTTTATCTGCACAGATGAAACACAGCGCAAAAGGAGCATTGGATGCCCCTGGAAACTCACATGCATCTAAACCAAACATAGCTCGATGGCACCCAAGGCATAATCAACCTTGACAGAGCTTTCTTTTCCAAACCTCACCTTCCATGTGTGGTTTTGTGAAAAGCTTTTCATGCTTTTATCTTTCACCTGTGTAAACTGCACCTGAGTGATTTTGGGTGAAGGACAGTAAACCAATATTTAAATAAAGTAAAATATAACATTACGAGGGATTTAAAATTTAAACTTTAGATTACCTGGTGGTGGCCATAAGTATAAGTTTGCAGGTAGCCATGCCGTCTTGGGTGCCACAGTTGGTGCAGGCCTGGTGGAGAGGAGCTTGGGCTTTGTTTGCCCAGTTGTAATAGAAACTGTGCAGCAACACCAGTCTGAGGATCCTTGAGCAGATGATCCCCAGAACTTGTGTGCTACGAGATGCCTGCCTTTCCTAGCTGATGAAAGTGACTGTGGGGGTCATTATGGCTGGGTGGGTTAGTATAGTGCTGAATGCATCTTTCTTTAAGGCAAGGTGTGATTCCAGCTTGCCAAAACAGATGATGGTAAGTGAACGTAAGAATGTAAGAAAACCATGCTGGTCAGGCCAATGTTCCATCCAGTCCAGCACTCCATGCACACGGGGGCAATCCCACTGCCCGCAGGATCCCTCAAGCGGGATGGACCCAAGATCTCCACCCGTTCTGCTCAGCAAATGGTATATGCCAGTATACTGCCTCTGGTGAAGGAGGAAGCACATAGCCAGCAAGGCTGGTAGCCATGGATAGCATTCTTTTCCATGGTCAGTTAAAGGACTAACCTGCCCACCAACCAACCAGCCAACCAACCAAGACCATCCCTGAAAACCACTGAATTAGGCAATATCTAGCTCGTTCCCCACGGGTGGTGGGTGTGGAGGTGGCTCATCTCCAGTGCCTGCAGGATGAGGCAGATTTATCAAGCCCAGACAAGGACTTCTGTCATTGCCCTGGCAGACCATCTAGGCTGGGAAATGGGCAGAGGACTTCGCTCCTGTTGCTCCTGCTGGACTTTTCAGCAGCTTTCACGACCATCAACCACAGCATCCTGTGAGGCACTCTTATGAGGTGGGCCTGGTTCTTCTTGGAGGAAAACCTTCAGAAGGTGGTGCTGGGAGATTCCAGTTTGATGCCATGACAGGAGTGTAAAGTGCTTCATCATTTTGCACTGTTTTAGGCTGCTATCTTTCCAAGCCATGCTGAGTGTCATTTTTGGTAGAAACATTTCTAAGGTCAGAGCTGAGCCTTGGAATAATCTTGTAGCCTCTCAGACAGTGTCTAGCGGTCAAAGGATTACACCCAAAATAATCAGTGATCTGCATTTGCTGTCAACAATTACACCCGCAGCAACATATAAGCAATAACATGGATAGAGTATCAAAAAATCAACGTAACGATCGAAAGCTATCGGCACAGCAACCTACAAGAATAAAATCAACAGCCCCAAGGGCAGCAAAAACATACATTAAATGTATCAGAATCCCAGCAGTGGAGATCAAAAATTCCTATAATTTAAGGGTCATGAGTGTTCGCTACAGTCACACGCCTTCATCTGGAGGCAAAATGGTAACAGTGCAGAGGCCAGGAAGAGTTCCAAAAACCTTGGTTCCGAGGCCATCATTGCACCATATACTAACTAGGATTATGAAAATCTCGGGTGGAGGGGAGCTCTTGACCAACATTGCTTCTCAGAACTCAAGTGCTGCAAAAGCCCATTTTGGTTACATGGAATCAAATTTTCGGTGTCCCA